AAAAAAAAAAAAAAAAAAAAAAAAAAAAAAAAAAAAAAAAAAAAAAAAAAAAAAAAAAAAAAAAAAAAAAATTTTTAAATGGTTCTTAAAGAAGAGTTATTCGAAAAGAAACAAAATAAGTATTGAATATTATTAAAAGAGAATTCATGACAATTCATCGTTTTACAAAAAGAACACGAATCAAAGAAATGATGGATGGCTAGTTTTCTGCATGTAACGTATATACTGTATTAGCAAAGATAATGTACAGTGCGGTGGATCCCAAATGACAATATTAGTATTACTTTGGATCTTTGCCTTGGTTTCTTCCAATACATGAAATATTTGGGCAGAAAGAGAATACTTTCGGACCTATTATAATTTGGAAAGAAGCGGAGCTTCGTTGCCTTACAATAGTAAAAGTTCGATAGTAGCAAGAACATATTGTATATATTAAAAAGATGAACAATTATTTTTGAAGGCGACCAAAAAATGAAATATGACATTTTGGATAATACTTATACTGTATAACGCAAATTTTAGGATTACAATTATAGGGTCTGTAAAATCCCTGTCCGTCTTAGAGAGTCTTAGAGATAATTACCCAAATAAATAGTAATTGGGAAATGCTTAAAGACTTACAGTATAATCTCCATAAGAAACATTGAATTCCATAGTATTTCGTTAATATTTACGAAACTAAATTTCCAAGATTCCCAATGATATTAACATGCCCAAACTTTTACCTACTGTATATAAATTTTGCCTCCGGAAATATCGTGTAACACCTAAAAATTAGACGGGGCTTTCCAGCAATCTTAAGTTCTATTGCGAATAAATCTACATTATGCAAGATGGCTATACTGTAAGTTCATGATATTATTATAGAGAAAATAACATCGCTCAATTATATTTCAGCAAGGAAATTGACTCCAAAAACTCTGTGAAATCGGAATACACAAATTTATGCTTGTCAAAGAAGAGACGAGACAATATCTATGATGATTCCAATGAATCATTATCACAAAATTTAGCTCGACTATGTCAAAAAGTTCAGGATAACTTAGGACAATCAATGAGAGATTTTGTGCTGTTATCAATACGGAAAGAATATAACGGCAGAGTCGATTGTATTAAATCAAAGGGTCAGACAACAGATACGCGATGAAGTCCTCCGAATCTTACAAAATATGATTTACGCGAAGAGACAGAAGGCCAGAGCTACTTACAACTTGTTTGAAAAATTAAGTGTTAAATATAGTAGCGCGATGCAATCTCAAATTTGTCTACCACCATATCTAGAGTATTACGTATAAAGGTTTCTTCAAAAAGACGTGACTAACACACCAGACATATGTAATAACAATAGAAAATAATTTTCTTGCTTCGTTTATTTATTTCACTATAAATAAGAGTATGGCACAAATTAGAAACGAGTTTTCCAACTCAAGTGTAAAAACTTGAGGCTGGTTTCATAAAATGTATTTTATGTCATTCAATTCGTGTCTTGTTTGTTTAAACGGAAAGGAATGTGTTTCATTTGATAATTTTGTTACCAAAGATAACGCTTCAATTCATAAATGCGATTTTATAAAAGAACCTGACAATGTTGAATTTAATAAGATTTGTTATTTTATTGATCAAGTTTCAAAACGGATAAGTGATTTAAAAAAAAGGACGTGTAATACGTTGGTGGAATATTTGTGTAGATGGTAAAAACAAAAGCTATTTTCGGCGTCATACAGCCGTCATGAAAAGTCATTATGATTCTTGCTGGTATTAGATACAATGTCTTCTATGAGTCGCACAAAAATATCAAAGCTGTCATGTAAAGGGTATACTGTATCAGGCAGGATGTCCATTGCTAGGCGCAGTATCATTTTTGCTACAAAACAACGACTTTGTAACGGTGGTTGTGCAAAATAATACTTGCGCACAAAACTGAAAGCGCGCGCAAAAATTTGCACAAAGAATTTTTAACAAAGTTTTAGACACGCATTAAAAACGTTATGCCTAAATCATTATTTCAAAATCCTGCAATATTATTCTTTATTGTATAAACTTATAAATGCCAGATGTCATAAATACCACAACTCTAGGCACTCTAAAAACGACAGACTTCCCCTAACAAATTAAAAAATCCGCAAGGGGATTTCTAAATTTCATTCCTTATATAAACTTACAAACGCCGGACGTTTTATACCATCCTTTAGAAGACACACCCGAAGTACACTTTGAAAACGTCAAACCTCTCCTAGCAAAAATATTATTCAAAAACCTTTAATGAAATTAGTCATATCACCAAAGCTAGTAAAAAGTATTTGATTATACATTCTACATTCGTCAAATCAACAAGAGCTCCAAAACTAGACATCATGTCAAAAAATCGAATAAATGAGTTAAAATCAGAGAATGCTGAATTACACGGAAGGATAGATGAAATAGACAGACGGTCACAAACACCGCTGCCATCAATGTTACATTTTCAAGAACGGTTAAAAGAAAAGAAAGAAAGAAGCAAGGAAAAGGAAGAAGAATTGCAGCTTTTACAACAATTAAATAAGAATCTCGAGGAAACCGTGAATCTCCAGGAAAAGAAGAAGCCAAATACTATAGAGCAACTTGAGAGACTTACACGACTTGCATTGGCCATTCAACCGGTTGTGGAAATTATGGCGAAGCTTTGTGACGGTTATTTAAGTATATAAGAAACAGTGTACAATTGCGAATATTCGTTTCTACACATTTATTTTTTACATACTGTATTTACCATCGCAGAGATAAAGTACCACATCTCCATCATTCTTTATTTAGCATATACTACATTACCAATTTTCATTACATGTTTCTAACTAAGATTCTTGACTTCAAGTGGGCGAGTAACAAATAATGTAGCAATGCAATTTCTAGCTCACGCAAAAAATTTTTATACTATTGTTGCATGTACAGTACATTCCGTATGATTTGTTAATTTTTAACAATATAAATGATAAAAATAAAACAAACATTCGGCTATTAAAAATCACGTAATTTAACAAATCCATTTCTTGCTTGGTTAAATATTGACAATTATCGTTAAGTTGACGAAACTTTGTAAATGTGCTATATATGATTTTCAAATACGTAGAAGAATGGGGCAATGTGTTTATATCTTTCCAAATATCCAGCATGGAAAGTTTAAAATCGAAAAAATATCAATAGTATTTAATTGGTTATATGTAAACTTAAAAAATATAAAATATATAATTTTTTAAATAAATATTTTTAAAAAAAAGAATTTTTTTATTTGGGTTCAAATTTTAATCTAAAAAAGTAAATCTAGATATACTTAAAATAGTCTTTATATAGAATTTTATCAAAATTCAATTACTGTAAATATTATAAAATTCTAATGTATTATTTTTTTAAAATAAAAAATATAATTTTTAGAGAAATTAATTATGAATAATTTTATTAATTTTATATTTAAAAATAATTTTTTTATAGTTTTGTATATAATTTTTTATAATTCACTATAACTAATTTTAAATTTAAATTTTTTTATAAATACAAAAAAAAATTTTTAAAAGCAATAATTTAATATATTTATAAGTTTCAAGTAATTTCATTTTATAAGTATTTAAGAATATATATTTATTTTTTTTTATTTATTTTTTTAATTGTTATATTAACATGGGCTTTATTGATCAGATATTTAGAAATTTATATAGTTTATTCTACAAGAGCGATTCTTATAGCTAGCCTATTCTATTCTAATCTATTCAATTCACCTTAAGATTTTACCTAATAAGGATACCATTTTATCAACTACCTTGCTATGCCTGGGCACACCCAATGTTTCAAGAATTCACCAAAAAACTTTTTCTTTTATTCAAAAATTATTTTCTAATATATGTTTGCTTTATAAGGTATCTGTCTTCAATATGTGAAATCTATTTCTTAATTGACATTCTTTTATCATGTTCCGTTCTTGAAAATTGATTGTTTATTGATGTCTTTACTCTCTATATAGTTTCAAGTAAGTCTTTTAATGATCATTGATAAGCCAGATTGATAACTAAAGTTTTCCGGTACCTATTTTTAACCCTTTTTCAAATATGGCTTTTACCCTATTATGACAGTTTATCACCCCTTATTGACCATTCACGAGATCCTTCTTTGGTAACCATTGATAGTTAACAATTTAGGATCTCACATATTATCTTGTCCTTTATTTTTTGTAACTGGTGCAGATGATTGAAGTCTTCCAGCCTCTCATAAGACAGGAATTTTTTGAGAAGAGTTAAATTCCATATAAGATTAATAGAATTGTAAGTCGATTATTATCTTTTTTAACATTCCTTGATATCTTTGCATATTTCAGATGATAAAATGTTGAGGCTTCTCATTCAACACTGAATCAACTGCAACTTAATATACTCTTTCAAAACAAAATTTTTATAGAACAAATAAAGCCTTGACAAATTAATCAAGTATATATCAGTACTTAATAATATGTTACACAGTAATATTATTCTTAGTGTATTTAATTAGATAGTTAGAAAGATAAATTTATATAAAATAAATTGTATACAATATATTTACAAACAATATCTAATAAACAAGGTATAAGTCACCTGTTTAAATAAAATATTATTTTTAAAATTTATATTATTTAAACTTTAATTTTGTTATTTATTATTTAATAATAAAATTTAATTTAATTTAATTTTTTTTTTAATACACATAATAATTAATTTTATTAAGAATATAGCAGATATATAATAATATAAGCAATTTGTAAAACTATATACTTTAAATTAAGCAAAAAACAGTTTTTCACAAGTGACCTATCTTAAATATTATTATATAATTCAGTTTAGTTTAATATATTGAATTTCTACTAGTATGTTATTTAGAAAGGATTATGTTAAGATATTATTAAACAAGGATCTAGATTTTTTGCTATCAAATATTTACTGAAAACTGTTATTAAGAAAAATGTTAATACATACAAATTATTCACTGAAATACTATGTCTTGATATTTTTTAAAAAAAGAAAAGGATACTTCTTCTTTTACTTCTTCTTTTCAGATAGATAGAAAATGGTTTCGGAGCCTAGCTTTAGTAATATTATTTTATCTAAATATCTTTCTAGAGAATTACTTATTCAAAAATTATATGAGATCTATAGTTAGAAAGGTATCTTGAAACTTGAGTATATTAGTAATCCATAACTCTTTTAAAGATAGATTACAGTATGTTCTTAAGAAATTTTCTATTTTGACAATTGTTTTTAATGAGTACTTTTACTATAAGTAAAAATGGTAAGTACTACTGGTAATCAAAAAATGTTTATACTTGAGGAATAGTGTATTAAAATATTTTAATAAAAGTTTTTAGTTTATAGTCTTTCCACAAACTATAGATTAAAAATAAGAAACTTGTCAATAAAAAAAATTTCTTATTCACATTATTTGTTTTTATAAAAAAAAATAAATCTTTACCTATCTATAAAAATGAATAAAACTTACATGATTATCAAGGATAGATAACTTTAATACTAAAAACGATTAAAGTATCTTGTGATCTTTACTATAATCAGATATATTTTTTTTTTATAACATTCAATTATATAGAAGAGAAAGTATTCTATATTTATCCATATTATAGATATATAATTTATAATAGATCTCAGGTTTTTATGGAACCAAGAAAATGTATTTATATATATAAGATAATCAATAAAAACTTTTTTATATTATTTTATTGATACAATATATCTCTACTGACTAATTAGATAATGAGAAACTTTGTGCTATTTAAAATTCAGGATTAAACTGAAATAGTTAAAATTTTTTAGAAAAAAAATAAAAGTGTACTATTAAAGTCTGCTAAAATTATAAGAGAGTAGATATTATATATTGATAATAAGTTTCTCATTATATATAGAACTCTGTGGTATTTCTTTACAACTGAATAGACAATAACATCTCAATTCTTTCTTTTTTCAAAACTTTTTTGATATTGATAAAAAAGATGTTTTATGACTTTTATAATTATTAAAAATTAAAATTTTTGTTTAAAAAAATAATAAATAAAAAGGAAGAGAATATTAATGACTTTTGAAATTTCTTCAAGTTAGTTTAAGGAGAGTAATAAGACTTTGTTAGCTTAGAAGTAAAAAA